ATGGTCCCTCATTTAGCCCTAGCCTTTTCAAAAACTCCGAAAGAGTCCTCTTCTCATTCTAGATTCTCAAGCTGTTATTTAATAGTGTTCAAAAGAGAGAAAGTAAAAACTTCTAGAACTTAAAAAATTAATATTTAAAATAAATTATTTTCAGAAAAAAAATGATTGTTTCAGCGTATCCTATTCAGAGTTTTTCCTGAGCCTTCTAGTTTGGGGTTTTGGGTTTGTTTAGGTTTGGTTTTTTTTTTTTAATTTCGTGTCTGCAGTTCCTTAAAATTGTTCCTTTGTCTAAAAAAGCTTTACTCAGTAGTTCCTAGCATTGTCATTTTGTTTAAATGGATTGGCAGATATTTGTCATACCCCAAGATTCTTACATTGTGTTAATACAAAAGTTGTCTCTTGCTCCCTTTTTTTCTTTGTAGCTACTATACATTTTCCTTCTTGTGTCATTTTGTTGTTGTTGTTTGCCCCTATATGCCTTATCTTTCATATTTTATTTGGTTTGGTGTTCAGGGAGGGAAGTCTACCCACTTCTGTGCAACAGAAGGCCTTGCATTCTTGCAGCTGTGGTCTGAAAAGGGCACTGTTGTGCTAGAGTTTATGTACTCTCACATGGAAGCTAAATGCTAGTGAGTAGGGATGAGAAAAGGCTTCTTCCACAGCTACCTTTTTTCAATAAGAGCAGACAAATTAATGGATACGCAACTTTCCTTTGCCCACTTCTGTCATCCTCTCTTAAATATTCTTGCAAATTAGTTTGGCAAGTTTTTAATGAGTACCTTTCTCCCAGGGTTGAAGAACAATGATATATGGAAGATCTGGAATATCTCACAGAGCTGTCTGAGTTTGTTCACTTTTTGGTCCCCTGTGTTTTAATTCAAAATACGACTGAGTTACTTGGTGATTAATACTGTCCTTCCCCAGTCGCTGAGTAGAAGGATTTTAGTTTGGTATCTCCTCATCTGCCTGTACTGTTTTAGGGGAATTGAGGAGTCGGTAAAAGGGAAGGAGGATGAGGGGAAGGATGACTTTTACTTTCATACTTTGAAACAAACCAGCAACACCTAGTGTTGAAGAAAGGAGCTTCCATTTTTATAAAGTCAAGGCAGGCAAAGGTGGCTCTCCTTCCCAGCTGCAAGCCTCCTTTCAGAGCTTTGTCTTCACTTTTATCTGTCACAAATTATATCTCTCTGCTCTGTGGAATATGCAGTATTTACTCCAGATCTTTGTATTTGTTATTTCTGCAAATGATGCAAACCTAAGATGATATAGAATGTAGAATTAGGTAGTAAAGGAGGTAACACTGCAATTCTTTGGCATTTTATTTTGTGAGGTTCTTTGTGGGTGTGTATTGTGGGGAGCTGACATTAAAAAAACCAAACAAACTACTGTTTTCTTTCAGACAGCTGTATAAGAATTAGCAACAAATCTTTATTTTTTGTGGCTTTAATATCTCTTTGGATTCTGTATGGGGCTGCATGCCATACACAGATGTGAGTGAAGAATTTCAAGTGTAAAATTTAGGCAAATGAGATAGGATAGTTACTATACTGTCGTGGTGGTAATTTAGATGCTTGCTAGCTTTAGGAAATCACTGTGAACATCCTAAACTTTTTTGTGTGCGTTTTGTGAACACAGAGGTGATGATGGTTTTGATGGCATTCTGAAGCCATAATTTTATACCTTTGTGCCCTTAAGTGTTTGGATACTGGCCTCCTGTGAAGAGTACTGAACTCAAAACAGTTGTGTTGAATTTGATGCATTTTAAAATGGTGGCCCTGTGAAACTCATGAGCTTGAGACTCTCTCTTATTCCGTTGAAAGTAGGTACAGCTGCCGCACGGAAAGAAATAATCAGAAATAAAATTCGTGCAATTGGCAAGATGGCAAGAGTCTTCTCTGTTCTCAGGTACTTGCATGACTTCTGCATTCCTAAAACCCCTCTTACTACGTATATTAGGATAAGATATCTCTGTTCCAGGATAATGGATGCCAAACATTTTTCAGGGAGATAATTGTGCATCAGAATCTTGTTTGGCATATTGATGCACGCCCACGATGTTGGTATTTTTGGTTAAAGACTATTTTAAAGTTCTTTTTGAGACATATTTCAGGAAATTAGAGAACATGATCTTTAGCTTACAAGTTATTTGTCCAGCCATTAACTACAAGTGTTGGCAAGGCAATAATACCAAAGTAGATATTGAAATCAAGGGTGTAATGAAGGAGGTCAGGACTGGCTTGGAAAATTTCTGTCATACGAGAAAGTTGAGGACTAGGGGTTTTTTTGTTTCAGGTTTTTGTTTGTTTTCAGCTTTTTAAAAAAAATACCATTTTCTTGTACCTATCTAGATGTATGGTTTTCCACAGACCATAATTGTTCAAATAGGGATAATTTTTTTAAGTTGGTATTTTCAGAAGCATCAACACTTTGAACAAAACTGTGGATTGTTTCATGGCACTGAGATGTGTTCAGTACCTCCTGAGGCAGTCAGTGCTAATTTCAAACCTAATGAGCCTTCATGTGAATAATTACTCAGAATTTGGTTCAGAAGTAATCAGTGTTTATAATGCCTAAGCAGAGGAAAGACTGGTATGGAATAGAAATATTTTCCCCTTTCTAGTTGTTTGAATTCGAATTTACATTCAGTCTTGTATATAAAAAAAATAGGCTCTCGCTCTCCCCATCCCTTATCTTACTTCAATACAAGTTTTCATGAGCAGATATCTAAGGTTTTGTTACTGTTTTTTCTCACACCAGGGAGGAGAGTGAAAGTGTGCTGACACTCAAGGGTTTGACTCCCACTGGAATGTTACCTAGTGGAGTGTTGGCTGGAGGACGACAGACCCTGCAAAGTGGTAATGATGTTATGCAACTTGCTGTGCCTCAAATGGACTGGGGCACATCTCACTCTTTCGCTAACACTACACATAATGCATGCAGGGAATTTCTTATGCTTTTCAGTTCTTGTCTTAGCAGCTGATACAAGCATAGTGTTATGTGTTAATCAGGCAATGTGAAATGGATACTTAACCAGGGTATAAAACTAAAAGCAAATGATTTCAGCAGGGTAAGGCCACATTTTTCAGACTTTGAGCTTCTTTAGTTTACAACTTTCCAGGTGGTGCAGATGCCTGAAGTGGGGTGACCTTATGGATCTGGTATTGAGGCATTTGATCATTACAGATAGAAAAATGGCAATGTAATTTTGCATCACTATTTGTCTGCTTTCCTTTACAATGTTTTTATTATAGATGTGTTAGTATTTTCATTGACAACATCAAATACTTGTTGATACAAATATTAACAGCTACAGGCTGCAGAGTTCCATATTACACTCCATTGATAGATTGAAATGTGCTACGTTTTGTACCCTGGTAATTAATGCCAAAGTTTGTTCTCTATGTTGTTTGTCAAATGTTTTATGTATAATTGACCTTCCTGAATTGTCCTTGTAACATGCTGTTTCCTTCCTCTGCAGATGTAGCTGCTTTCTTAGATCTGTCTGTCTCTCTCTAGGTATAGATGTATGTCTGTATAAGTGTTAAATTAAACCACTATCCCAGACACTTGTCTGTCTCTTGATGTAGAAGCAATGTTGTAGCACCTTGTTTTTGAGGTTTGCTGCATTTGCTGCTGCACATTGTCTGTGCATTTTGAACAATAATGTACTTGAAAAATATTCACCAATTGTTATAAAATCAGTTGAGAATAAAGGGATTGAATTTAAAACTTGTAAATAAATCAAAATAAAAGGGTGTTATTAAGTGTGCATATTTTTTTTGCATGAAAATAAAAAGAACTCTATACAAAATACACCTGTAATCTGGCTCATTGAATATTTTGTAAAAGGTTTTTCTTCTTTTTTCAGTTTGTTGAATCATTGGATCATATTTTTCAGAAGGCCCATAAATGATTAACTAGGCTTAGGGAGAATGCAAAGAGATTTTATTAAATATATTAAAAGAACGAAGTCCAGGTTTCTGTTCACAGTGGTGGATAACTAAAATATACTAGTCTGGCACTGGACTTCATATCAGCAGCACTGTTAACATAAATTATTCAAAGACTTTTCATTGGCCATCTTCAGGCTTTAATAGAAAGTACAAAATTGTTGTATGGGATCACTGAAAGATTGTGATATATGATCACCACTTTTTACACAATCTATTTTCCAAGAGTAGCTGCTTTTCTCATTTTGTGTTTTAGGCTCTTTATCTGAATTTTTAAAATTTTCTGTGTAGTTTTGTTGTTTTTTTTTTTTTTTAAAGCCTTTCACTACATTTTCTACTAAACCATCAAAGCTGGTTTTTAATAGCTTTGAAACATGAATGTCACATTTTAAGTCATTTTTCAGTGGACATATAATGTCTACAAGTAAGTTTATATGTCCAGTGTATGTATGTGGTCGTTTTGTGAATGTCTATAACAAGAAATGGTGTATGTTTCCTAATCCATTCAACTGTTCCAAAAGCATATGTTCTAGTTTTAATTTTAATTGTTTAATAAGATACTTTATTATGCTTTTAAAAATGAGTCTGCATTCCTCTCACTCATTTAACAGGTTTTTATCCTTGTTGCATTACAAATATCAGAGAGGATCAAACTGACTAGAAAATTTTTTTAATATAAAACATATGACTTTCTGCCATTACTTGAAAATATGGGACATTTGGAAAGTATGCAAAATGCATTTTGGATTTTTGTGGGTGTGGTTTTTTGCCTGACTAGAACTTTTGATGGCAATATTCCTTGATGTACTACATTAATATACCTCATTTGGTTTAGTCATGTTGATTGTTCAAAATAACTCATGCCAATTGTTAATTCTCCTTAAATTGCAGTAACTTCTTTTACTGATAAGAATTTTATTGTTTCAGTCTTCAAAAAGTAAAGTTATCAAATTATTATGCTTAACTGCAAAGCTGTAAACCAAAAATAAAATAAAACTTCACTAACTGACATTTTCCTAAACCATCATAATATTGATTAACTTATATTCTTGGCAAAAATATATTGTAGGATTTCTTACTACAAATATTTAATTACTTTTTGAAGTATATTGTACTATGTTGATCAATATACTATCAGTATTTTGATCTAGATTTGAGAGGAAAAGGATATTAATTGTAGTAGGTTTCTATTCTGTTCTTTTGTTTGCCTGAAAATTTACAAAATCAATGAATATGTCATGGTTTTTCCAGGTTTCAGTCTGATGAGTACTTGTTTTTCAGTGGCACATTGAGAAAAGCTCTAGTTGTGCTGGTTGCTATTAAATCCATAAGAAGCTTTGAAAGGGATGAGAAATTGGAGTGTGTATTTACGTTTCTCTAGAGACCTGGGCTGAAATTTTTTTATCAGGGCAGATATACATGTAGACACATATATAAGTCACCAATAAGGCAATGCATATGCAATTTTTGCAGATACGCCTATTGTAATTCTTAATGTCAGTAACAAATTCTGTATTAGATCTTAGCAAATGCCACTACTGTTTCAGGAATTTTTTCAGCCACATCAGCTGTCTCATGTGAGATACTGGCCATTCTGAGAGGAGAGAAGCTTGTTGGCATTGTCATAATGCAGAGTAGGGCACCAAACACATTAGTCAGTGTAATACAACTGCTTTATGGGCAATGCTTGGACTGATTCTTACTGCAAAACAGCGCAGCCTGAGGATGAAATACAAATTCTAACTGTAGTGAAAGGGTTAAACAAAGACAAGTCTGTTAAAAAATATAATTTTGGAAAAAAGTGGAAGAAGTCCTGTGAAAGAAGTCAATATTTTTTTTCCAGAAATATATGGATATATTTTTGAAAAATTAATCATAGTTTATTTTTAGATAGCTTTAATATACTAGGATAGAAATAGACTTTGGGAAAACGTGGCCTTTGTAGGTTTCTAATTTTTTTAATGTAGATTTATGGTTGTTATTATTTATGTTGCTTGCATTATAGTACCTGAAATAGTAAAGACCATAGAAGTACAACTCTTTAAAGTAGCATTTACTAGTGACTTATTCTATGAACTGAATCTAACAAAATTATTTTCCATATTAAGTCAACATCTGTTAAAAAAAAACTCCACACACCGAAAGCCTTATTCAGCAACTTACTAAACACAATCCTAAATTAAAAATTGTAAGTACTTCCATGGAAATCAGTTGAACTAGCTAAATACTTCTTATCTTTTATTGCTGCCTTTGCTATTAGTCAAAGGGGCAGTAAGATAATTCTTTGGTTTTATGTTTAAAGTTGGCAAGGATTTTGTATTAGATCTGTCCCCTAAGTAAAGCAAGGGGAGAGCTGGAATTGAGGATGGAAATGCCATGGAGCCCTGTTGCTTGAAATTGCTCTCAAGTCAAGAATTTTCTGAGCAAAGACTTCAGGATTGCCTGTTATATTAGTATGATACCCTATTTATTTGGGGTTTAGCAGGGTTTAAAAAGAATATAGTTTTAACTTAGATGTACCTGCAAAAGAGAATCCAACAAAGTTATTTTCCAAATTGAGTCTTTTCAGTGTGGGTTTTTAAGTGCTTATATTTTCCAGTCAGTTTGTTCTTTTATGTCAAGTTGAAAACTATATTTTTCTTAACTGTGGTGTATATTCCAAGATCTTTTTTGGAATAATACTAGTACAAGTAGAATGAACTAGGAGTAAAATTGGAAATTTGTATTTATGACCAAACTACATAATTTACAGAGATAAATCAGTATTCGTGATCTTTTCAGGAAAAGATTGAAAACAAAGACTTCACAGGTAACAGGAAATGGTGGAAAGCGGTGGTTTTTCCTACATAGTTTTGTATTTGTATGGCAAATTGTTAGTGACTTTCTAAATAATTCTTAAACTAATTTATTTTTACAATTTGAGAATGCTTCTTTCCCTTAATGTAAACATAAATAACCATCCATTCAAGTGTCTTATTTAAGTCTGGGATTGCCCTTGTCTCTGTAGATTTAAGTGCAGGAAATGTGGGTTTTTTTTCTGGTACTGTGGAATGTGCAGTATGTGAAAATTAAAATGCTGCTAAAATACCCTTAAGTATTCCACATTCTTTTAGTAGCAATTAATGCAAACAATAATTTTATTTATTTTTTAGAGTATCTTAGTGGAAATTATAATTTCATGCAACAGTGAGGTTAAGGTGTAATGTAGGCAATTGAGGCAATGTGTCTAGGTTTTGTTGGATAGAAAATTAGAAGTAATAAACTTACTTCACTTTAAAGAATTCTATTCTGATCTAATGCTGTATTTTCTTATATAGCTAGTTTCCCCAATATTCACTTGAATACTCTTTTATGGGTTTTGTTGTTAACAATGTGTATCAAGCACTACCCAAGTAGGTTTACCTTAATTTGTACTGGTTTTTATTAATATTTCTGAAATTATAGTATTAGGGGCATGCCACATAGTAGGGGACGCAAAAAGTTGTTACCATTATTGGAACTTAGCTACAGTTTAGGTCGTAGTTACAAAGTGGTTTTGTTAGAAAGTCTGCCCTAATGGAAGGTTATTTTGATTTTGATATCCTAATAACCTTATGTTAAACCTTTGACTGCTTGAGCTAGAACAATTGGGAAAGATCTTACACTTAAAAAATTACAAGAGATGTCATGGTTATTTAGTTTGGAAAACAATTAGTAAGCTAGATTTTTTTTCATATTCACAATAATTCACGCACCAAGACTATGTCAAATCCAGACCTCTCCCTGCTCTAGATTTTCTTGTTGATTCAGTTAAACAATTTATGAGACTTGTAAATATGACTTGCTGAATTTTTCTTTTATGGTTTAAATTTCACTGTTCAGTTCTCAGAGGTAACCATTTTAGCTCAAAATATGGTGAGAAATTGAAGTACTAGTTAAACTTCATGGAGCTAACCATAAAGAGAGAAATAATTTCTAATTATTATAACACTGCTGGTGTAGTGGTTTTTTTATAGTGTCCTTCCTAGTGATTTAATGAAGCTCACTCATGCATTTTAATCTTCAGAAATAGTAGTCTTAAATAGATATTTAGTATCATTTTAAACCCTACCTCAAGTTCAACATCAGTTGAAATTTTCTGTTGCTGTTTTAAAAAAAAAAAAAAAGAAACTTACAGAAATGTGCAGTTAATAACATCAGTTAATTAGTGTTGCTTTGATACACTTCTAGTTGATAAAATGTATTCATTAAAATTTAGGCAAAGTTTCAGTTAAACTTAAAAACAACCCCCCAAAACCTTAACTATAATTTTAAATAATTGTAATCTAATCTGGCGTAGCATACTATATTAAATGATCATTGCCTTTTCTGCTGTGCGATATTACACTCTTCATCTTTCTCATTCATTTTGCATGCATCTGCTCACTTCTGTACAGCCACTGTAGAGGCAATTGAGGCTGAAAAAGGTATGATCAGAGTCTTTGCCATTGGCAGAGATCTGTGGTGTCTGGGAGGGAATTCAAAAGTACTCTGTGTTGGGTGTGTTTTACTTTCAACTTGCACAAGCAGAGATGAATCAACTGCATTGATTCATCCCTTTTACATGTAACATTCATTTCTGGCTTTAGGATGCTGATTATCCTTTATCCTTAATATTTTAGGGAAATTCTTGGGGTTTATTTGGTCTTTTTTTGTTTGTTTTTTAAAAAATATGCAGTAGGTTTTTCTATAACAGCATGTTGTGATACGTGGTGTTGTCTTGAAGTCCTTAAAAATGGTAGTGTTTAGTGGGGTTTTTTTTCTGCATTCAACTGCAAGGTTTTGTTTGATTGTGGGGCAGGCAATATGTGGAGGGTGGGTTGTTTATGCATGCCTTTTCTCATAAAATGTATTTTAATGGCTTTGAACGTATTTCTTAAAAACTTTTCATAACATATCTGGTAGTGCACGATGTATAAATGTGATGTTTTTTCTGTAGATTTTGAACATAATTTGATGACCAAATTTATTTCCAGTGTATATGCCAGCCTGCCAGTATGAGGCGTGTTAAATTCCATGGATTATCAGTGCTTCTGTGCTAAATAAGTTGTATACACGGCCTTTGCTAGCAGTATTGAGCAAAACGCCATCAAATTATTTGGTGTTCAGCGTATTCAGCCTCAGTTTATTGTCTCTTCAGAGATCCTGTAATTTCTTCTTGCTCAGTATTCAATGAAGTGAATGACAAACAGCATAGCAGCTGAGAGAGCTACCTTTGGGGGTTTTAAAATTTGGTCACAAAGCACCATTTAATTACTGTATTCTTTGTTTTGTAATTAAGGAAGTCAGATCTCAAAAAAATTTAAACAAGTGCCATATTCTGTTCTGACACACACATGCAAGAGGTCCTGTTGTTGTGAGTGAAAAGCTGTACTTAAATCTCCAAAGAATTATTTCATCCCAGAGACTTGAGTCTTATTATGTGGTCAACCATTTTCAGGAATAAATTCAACTACAGGCCTAATTCATTAAAATAATCAGTAGCAAAATAATACCTGTTTTCTAGACTTACTTTAAATACGTTTGTATTTAAATTATATCATTGTTTAACCACAGTGCTAACTCAGTGACTGTGGTTGCGTCCATTTCCTTCATCCACATGATTGGCACAGAATGTGAACCCCATCCCGCAGTTTTGTCTGCATGAAAACTGCAGGATCAGGCCATCAATGGTTATGCAGGACATAAATCTGCTAGTCCTTTTGTAACCCTTTGCTGCTTTGCCTCCACTGCACTTGCTGTGCTGCTTGGATCTGACTGACATTCCACCGAAGAGAAGGGGGATGTTAAGATAAGCCAGGCACATTGGGCAGCAAAAGCAGTTGGTGTAGATAGCTGGCCATGCCAGGGACACGCAGAAGCAATCAAGTGGGCTTAAACCCCTTGATTCCTACTTGCAGAATCTTTGCCATTCTTTGTTCTTTTTGTTATAAACTGAAATCATTATTGCTGTTGAGCATTTCAGGAAGGCAGGTTAGAGAAGCTTTTACTAATACAGATACAGAGCCATAAGTTTCTTTGGCTAATTTCTTACCTGTTTTTAAACATCATTTGTTAGAAAAAATGTGTGCTTTCAACTTATTTTTCCATTACTGACATATCAAATTTGCATTTTGTTAAGCAATACGAGGATTCTCTCCGCAACATAAAATCTGCAGTTTTGAAGAAGCAAAAGGTTTGGATAGGATCAATGAGAGAATGCCACCGAGAAAAGATGCTCTTCAACAAGATGGTATTAATACTGTAAACACAACAAATGCCAATGGAAACAATGGAACTGGCAACAACAATGCACAGTGACCACGTCAGCTTCTGGTTTACTCACTCATATCTTGCCTGAGAATTCCTAGATTACTGCTTTTTGATGTGACAACAGATGCAATAGCCAGGGGGATCGCTTGACGTGACTACTTAATATGAGGTGCAAAACCATCTGACTTGATCCCGCTGACGAAAGACCATCGTGCTTTTGAGAGAACAGCCCCTCTCTTTACATGGTGCCCCGACCTCCTGGAAGCGTGCCTCACCCACTTACACAAAGTCCACCACTGGCTGCTGAAGCTTCAGAAGAGATCTGGGGAAAGAATTGGGCTGTTATCACTAAAGCACATCTAGACTAGCATCTTATGCTTATCGTTGTCAACACTTTTAAGTTTACAAATGGGATTTTTCTTTCAGTAGAGGTAGTTCATTTTTTTAATCAGACTTTCAAATACAACCCTAAGAGCTAACTATTTATTAATGGACATGGGTTTCATGAAATGTCTTTAAAATGATAAATTAGAATGGTCTTAAAATATCTGAGGCTGCAAAAACTGTATTTTAAATAGACAGAAACAATGCCAAAAAAAATCTCAGTTGGTCATTCTGTAAAATGCTGACCTCAGGTTTACTCCTTAGATGTTGCTAATTCTACATTGTACTCACTGTATTTTTTAGTTACAGCTTATCAGATTTCTATGTAGGAATGTTTATTACTTGAACACAGATTTTTAAAAAAATATTTAATTTAGGAACTTTTTTGCCCAGCTTTTTCAAGACTCTTCCCCACCTTGAATTAAAAAAAAATATATATACTAATTTTAAAAGTAAGAAAAATATGGAAGTGTTAATTTTAAGGTACTTTTAATTGAACTTTGTACATTGTTTAAGTAAATTTTGATTCATATCAAGTCTGTAAAGCTTGGCATTGTATTTTGTGTATGCATGTTTTCATTTTGCAAATATTTAATATATAGACCTATGATGTACATCTATAGGTTACCTAGATGTTATGGGTACTTTTAGTTTATTGTGAGTATTACGGTTGCATAAATAGCTAGTAATCACTGGGCTGAATAGGTGCAAGCTTTTTATTATTTTTAAATCTGTAAAGGAAACTGAAACTGTATTGAACATACATTTTGTTTTTAGGCAAAGCAGTGCGTAAGCAATTGCTCTGTTCAACTGCTAAAGCATTAGTGAAAGTGTAAACTTGAGACTGCATGTATTTTGGTATCTACAGGACTGCTTGGTTAAAATAAAAATTGAAGCCCTGTGCTAATTTGTTCACAAATAATGGACTGTACTGATTGCCACTGTACTTTGTTATACATTTTGACATTTGCTACATGTCCTTCTCATCCCCTGGAACACAACTTGAAACTTATGTCACTAGAGTTCATCTCCCCCCCTCCCCCCCCTTTTTTTTTTGTTTGCCATAAAGTACAATCTGTACGTACCCCTAAGTTGGAAATTTTATGCATGTTCTGAACTATTGAAATATTTTATAAACAGTAGCACACAATAAATTTTGTGCATGGGCTGCGGCTCCTATCATTGTGTATTGGTTTTATTTGGCATATGTAGGTTTAACCTGACCTTGAAAATTGTTTAGAAATGCTCTTAAAAATTAAAGCTATTGAAAAAAATAGCCTAAAAGGTCAGATTTAACTTGCAGAGAACTAGTTGAATGTAAGTGCTATTTAATTTCACTATTACGGTTGCTTCATTTTGGTTTTGAGTGCTCTCATAAATCAAATACCTAGATTTTTTCTGTCTGCTAAACTGGACATCCACTGTTGGTTTGTACAAGCCTGCAAGAGCAGTGTTAATTGATTCTAGAAAGGCTGTTAAGTGAAGCTACCTTTTGTGTGTTGGTTTGAACTAAATGTTCAAGACGCTAATGTGTATTGAGGCTGCTGTTTGGGCAGAGGGGGAGAACTGACTGACAGTCAGTACAGACACCTGATTTAGTCTTTCTGGTATTCTTAAAGTAAGGACAAGCTGGTGAACAGGATGAGAATTAATATAAAAGGTAATAAGCACAGTAAACATAGTAAACATACTATTGTTAATGGAGTTTAATGTTTGATTTTACTTTATTGCAGATGCATTCTAATTAGAAACTCTTCTCGAAGTTTGAGTGCAGAAGATCAAGTTAAAAAATGGTAAGTTTTGTTTTGTTTTAAATCAAGCACCACCGTAATAGCGAGCTGTATAGTCTATATCTGATGTCATATTAGAGCAGAACAAATGTGAGGAACATTATGACAGTACCTTCCTCCTTGTAAGCACTAGTGGAAAATTTCTCAACCTCGCAAAACAGTATTTTTCATGATTTGATACTCAGATCTTAGTTGTGATTAGTATTCTGACTAGCTGGAGTTGTGTGTGTTGAGAAAATACAGATTCAGTCTTTGGAAAGACGTCACTGTAACTGGAGAGAACTGGTTCTGATACTTGTATGGCAGTAAGTGCCCAGCTGCAATGATGCCTACTTCCTTGAGGATTCCCTTGCAGTATCTGTTGTCTGTCATAGCTTTTGCCAGATACGGAGTTTTTTGGGCAGTTGTTGTTGACCTGATTTCTCATGCTGTGTGTTTCCTGTCACCCATTAAGCAAGCAGTCAGCTAACAGGAGAAAGTCTGTGGGTTTTCTTTGTTTGGAAAGTAGGTACTCAGTTTTACTGTTGTGTTTCTGAAAGGTGGAGTCTGAAGCTATCTCTGTTGCATTGTTGAGGAGAAGAAATTACATCCTCCCTCACAGGAAACTGTAAGTAGTTTGCATTGCTCATTTTCTGCTCTCAGTGTTGTATGGAGGGGGGGAAAATAAAAATCTGTGTGTCCTTAGTCTGTTCTTGCGTAGGGAGGGGACAATATTCTGCTTGGAAATAGCTCTGTCAGCCAAAGGACAAAAGTAGCAAAAGCTACAAGAGGCGCAGTTGGTTCCTGGTTTGAGTTGGAGGAGTCTGGAGAGAATGGGCCCCTCCTCCTCTAACTCCTGCATTAAACTGTCAGCTGTGGTGTTTCTCATCTGTAGGGCACCAGCAGGGAGGAGGAGTATTCAAAGGTGGGTTGGGGGTTCTGACTGGAAACAGAGAAGCAAAAGTACACAACATGCTTGAGTAAGGTTTTGGGGGGCTTGTTTTAAAGGAGGGACTTCTGCTGTCAAGGAACTTGCTGCCACCTAGTGAGCCAAACAGGGAGGAGCAGCCTAGTTCACAGTTTACCTGTATTTAGTTCAATGGCAAACACAACCTCACCACCCAAAATTTTTTATAGTGTTAAAACAACAGGTGTCCTTTAAAAGCTTGTTAAATTCCAGTTGTGAAAGGGAAAAATTGCTACAGGCATATCTATTGAATTGTGAAGACTGACCTCTAGCAAAAAGAGGAATGGTTGGGATCAGGGCTGTTTTTCTCTTAGAAAGAGGTAGGTCTCTTCTGGTTTTGGTCTGAACACTTTTTGAGGGGAATAGTCTCATAAGTGGTTTTCTTTTGTATAATGTTTACTCTTTAAATGCCATTATGGTACATAGAAAAATAAAGCCTTTTCACAGGCAGGACAGACAGTATCTGTTCATTCTTGCCTTGCCGTATTTTTTGCTGCAATTCCATTATCAGCCATTCAATTCTTGTCACCCATTTAACAATTTTTGGTTACTAGCATGTAATGAAAATAACTTTTTGCCATAAAACAGGTTGATGTCATTAGAACATGGAACCCTATTCATCTGTTCACTTTCTTGTAGCAGTATGTATGAGCCAGACTTAATCAGTAGTCTGCTTTGAATTACACATGAAGTGGTAGGGACTTTATTAGTCACATAAAAAAATATAAATGCATTAATACGCTTTAATTATTCAATGCTAAGCTTCTTCACTTGTTTGCTCAAGAGCAATGAAACAAGAACCAAACCTTACGAGAATCTTGGTCAAGCTTGGAAAAGCTATTGACAGACATATGTATATGTCAGTATCAGTGGATAGATACTTGCACCAAGGAGGACCAAAGGAATGCGGAGTGGAATGTCTTTCAATCTCCCCAAATCAACTTCCATCTATTGTTTGTATTTGAAATAACTAGTTTTAATCTGACCCAGGAATTTTGAACTGAACTGTATTTCTAAGTTCAATATAAGAAAAAGTTTGAAGTCAGATTTAGGTTGTGGAACATTGATGTAAGTGAAATACTTAAGCTTTTTTGGTATGGTAAACTTGATATCTGTTATTGTTTTGAAAAAATACAATCATTTGTTAAAGCATTGCTTTAACCCATGACAGAAACACATCACTAGCTTCTGGACTTGAAGCTTCTGTTACATGTATGGCTGGGGAGAGATTCACTGTGGCTTTCTAAAAAACTGAATGTGCTATTCAAAGCTGCTCTTTTTAAATCCTGTGAAAACATCCATGTAGTCATTTATATTGTCTAGGCACAAAAGCTTTCAGTTTGGATTTACATGTGTTCTGCAGTGTTAGCATTTAGATACTGGCTTTTTGCATTGCTCAGTCATTCGCTGTATAACCCACTCCTTTACAAGGAGGTACTTCAAAATTTGATCCAAGATTATGCTTAAGGCAGCAACGGAAAGGAGAAATAATGGTAACCAACCACTAATGGCAGCTAATTTAAGAAACTAAATGAGGGGGTACAGTCAGATTCTGCCAAGGACTTAAACTGTCAGTGTAATGTGACTTGAACTGAGCACCTGCATGTTTTTCAACCTTAGGATGGAAAGACTAAAGGGAAGGGGGTGTAAAATGCTTTACATCACAGCCTCAGGCTTTTTAGTCATCCACAGTTAGCTCAGCAGTTAAGTTTAGTTATTTCAAGAAACTGTTGAGTACTTGAGGTTTGTCTGAGACAAACAGTTTTAATCATGCAGGAATCTGGCAGAGAGGGGAGATGGTTTTGTCTGGGTCAAAAGGACTCAGGCTTAGGGGCTAATAGACAAGATATATCTTTTATTATACAATAAAGAATATTATATTCTGTAAATTAAGGCAATTTTAAGTGCAACAAGCTTACTGAATCATCAAGAAGGCGTATTTGATTATACAGAGTTTAAAATTATTCTTTTACACACAAGGATAGTCAGTGTCTGCATAAAGCATGTTACGTGTCCTTCAGTTTGTTTTAAAAAAGAAAACAAAAAAAAATCCTCTTCTATTGACCAACAATTGCCAGCAGCAAACGCCTGTAATCACCGCTTGTATCACTTGCTATCATTGTTGCCAAAGTCTTCTGATACATTTGTGTGAACATCTGTTTAATTTGCACAAGGTCAATCTATGCAAAAAAAAAAAAGCATAAAACTTAAACACAGTGCACGTTTTTAACTCCTAGACAGTCACCTTGCATCTCCTCCCTCACGCATTACAGAATGCATGCTGGGGTGAAGTGTGCAATTGATTAACTCTGCAGGTCTTACAAGCCAGCTGGTCCCCTCTTAAGTACAGAGGAGCAGCTCCCAAACCAGAGACTAGCAGTTGTTCCTTGCTTTATTAGGACTGTACTATTCTAACTCAGCTGAAGCTTCGAATTTCAGGTGCTTATCTGCTACACAGACAGGCAACCCAGTTAAGAAGGAAGACAAGCAGTGTTACTGTCTAGCCAGAGATAATTAAACTACT